ATCGGATGAGACCAATTTTATTTATTCATTTTTTTCATAGTACTAGAAACTGAACCCAAGGCCGCCTCAGTGAACTACATCCGCAGTATTTTTAAATGTTTTATTCTGAGAGAGGGTCACACAAACTTGCTGTGTTGTTCAGGCTAAACTTGAATTTGCCATCCTTCTGCCTCAGCCTCTCATAGTGCTGGGATTACAGGCATGTGTCACTATACCTGGCTCAGTTTTATTATTATAGCTCTGCAGACAACCTATTTGCTGTCTCTGCAGAGAATGTCTCACCTTCTTGTTCTGAAATTTCACCAGATGTGTCTCTGTGTTGGCCTTTCTCCTCCTTATCCTGCTTAGCGAGTTCTTTTACTTTGGAATCTGAACCTTCATTCTCTTCCTGAGAAGAGGAACCTTCTTTTCCTCTTTCCATCAGGTTTTTGATCATTTCCTCTCTTTCTTGTTCTCTGTTCCCACACTTCAGGCTCTTGGTAGCTGGATGCCGCGCTCATAATATTAGAAATACAGCTCTCGGGTCTCACCCCAGATCCACCGAATCAAGATTTATATTTTAACAAGAGCCCTGGGTGATGTATATGTACATTCCATTTTGAGAAAAGCAGTTTAGTCCATTCTCACCTTGTCTGTACTTGAAATCTTTAAGGCTAACCGTTGGAAGGCCCATTTCCTTGTCACTTGTACCCTTGCAGCCATCCTTACATCTTTCTAGGCTTAGAAATCCGATGCTACTCTTCTCTCAGGTAAGACAATTTCCTGTTCCCAAGGGATCCTTCCCCACTCTGTGCTTGATCTTCTCTGGCCCATTCAGCCTTTTTCTTTTCACTAACTCTTTTCAGAACACCTTTAAATAGAAGCAGATACTTCCCAACTTGAAAAGGCTTCACCTGACCCTTTTAGCTCTTCAGGCCTCACCTCACTTCTCAACTAACTTTTCCTGCCAGATTTCTTGAGTTCATGCAAAACAGGCTGTGCCTGCGTTTCTTTACATAGCCTCCTCTCCAGACCCCTGGCACTCTGACTTGTGAGTCATTGCTCTGAACACTCCCAGAAAGGTCTTCTCTCAGCCTTCATGCTCAGGGCTTCTCAGCAGCATTAGCTATGGCTGGGAGCTGCAACCTTCTAAAACGTCCTCTTCCCTTGACTTTCAGGCTACTTTGATATGGCTTTATCCTCCCGGAGAAGAAGAAGTGGCCTCATTTGGGACATGCCCTAGAGGCACTGCTCAGATGTGCATTGAAGAAACTTTCCCTGACTATTGCATTCCAAATCCATTTGGTTCTTGCCTTGGTCTCTCCTCCTGGAGCACACACACAGAGACAAGCCCAGGTGTATAATCATCCAATTGTTGCACTGTGCTTCTCATCTCACCAGCCAGTTAAAAGCTACCAGGGGCAAGAACAAAGTCTTGGCCTTCTTCAAATGATTGCTTTGGTCATTTTTGATGCCCAAGGACAGCTGGACAAGGGCCTGAAACACTCTGGAAAATAACACCTGTTTTCATTCGTGCAAAGATTCTGGCCACTGTCAAAACTGTGTGCCTGGGGGCTACCTGTACCTAGAGGGGACATTCCGATTTACCCAGAGGCTCCCTGTGGGTTTGCAGTGCCTTGGGTATAGTCGTTACCTCTTCTCTGTTCTCTCTGGTATCGATCCCAGATTGATGGTGTTGTATCACCATGGTTGCCTTCATGCCTGGAAAGGTCAGCACCTTTCCTTCCATTCTCATCATGTGAAAACATTTCCGAGGTAACAGGAGAATCTTGTGGGCATGAGAGGAGAAAACTCACTCCTCAGATAAGACTGACTCCCTTGCTGCCTGCAGATGGTTTGTGGCCTTTCTGGAAAGCTGAGTGGCTGCTTTCTTCCCCAGACCTGTAACTTGGGCCTCCTTCTCCCAGGACATGCTGCAAACATGCAGTTGTAGCCAGGAGGGAGAAGAGGAGCAGGAGTGGTAGAGGCCAGAGAGGAGGCAGGAAGCTCTTCATGACCCTCTGAGAAGCTCAGAAGATACAGAAAGCTAAACTCCATAGGAGCTGAAGGAGATACAGAAAGCTAGACTCTTCCTGTGCTCTTTTCTTTCCCACATTCAATCCTGCCTACCCAGAGTTCTTGGTCTTAGGAGACAGCACTTTCACTCCCCACAAAGCTCTGCACCAGAGCCTAAGGGCCATCCTTGGTGTCTCCCCTATTTCGTCCTCCTTCCACTCATCACCAGGTCTTGCTTCTATGTCCAAAATAGACTCAGCACCTGTACCTCCCCCTTCTCCTCTGCCATGGCCCGGCCCGGCCTCTCAGTCCTGCTTGGGCCTCTTTCACGGCTTCCATACTCTGCCTCCATTTCTCTGGTCCATTTTGCACAGAGCAGCCAGGATTGTATTTTAAAAGTAAATTGCATTATGGGATTCCCTTGCTTAAAACTCTTCACTATTTGATGCAATTCTGAAATAATTATTCTGTAGGTGTAATGTTATATTTTGGTTATTTTTTTTCTCCTGCCTGAGAGTCCTTCTCTTGCAGAGGTATATACAGTAATATTGATGTGTGAAATGATGTGGTATATTGGATTTTCTTCAAAATAATAACAGGTGGCCAGGGAAAGGAGAGCCTGGCCATGTTGAAGCAAGGCATACAAGGTTTCATTGTCCTGTTCTGATTTTAGACATACTTAATAATGTCTATAGTGTAAAAGTTAAAGCACAAATTGTGAAGATTTTTCATTACTCATAGATTAAAAAAACTTGTAAAGATACCTTATTACTCATAAATTTTTTTAAAAAACTCACAAACATCCTTATAGGGCTTGTCAGTCCCTGCCTGATCCTGCCCTGTGAACCTTTCCGGTCTCACCTCTTGCTATTCATATCCTGCTTCCTGAGGCTCCCTGTGCAGCTGTCCCTTAGTGTCCTTGCAGTTCCCTGAAGACATATGCTTCTGCCTGGGGGCTTCTTTCATATCATTTCCAATTCAGGAATCAGGTCTGCTATCCTTAATCCCCATTGGTCACCTCCTGCTAACCCGCAGGTCTCACTGAAATTCTATCTCCCAATGTCCTGATTGAAACGTACCCGCCTTAATTTTCTTCATCACCTCACCCTGGCATTTTCCATCTTAGTGCTCACCACAATTTTGATGTGTCTCCCTTTTGAGGCCTTACATTCCATGAGGGTGAAGTTCATGGCTATTTTTTTCACTGGTGTGCACACCAGGGCCAAACACAGTGTTGCAAAATGATGAGAGGTAGCCACCACACCCTCAGTCCTCAGCTAAAGAAATTTGCCCTGAGCAATTAGAACAATAATTATGTGTCTGAAAAGTAAAGTATCAGGAATGTGAGAAGATGTGCGTCTGCTATGCCAGATGGGCAAATGTTAAGCATTTTTTGTAAATTTTAAGTGACTGCTCTCTCTTTTATTGAAGAATAAAATTTAGAGATAAGGTTAAGGCCTTTTGCATTTCCCTTTCCAAGGCTATTCCCTTCCTTCCCCATAACGAACTAGTATCCCAAGTTTGGTATTTATTCAGTGCATATTTTTCGTATTTTTGTTACAGATGTGTGCATCTATAAATCATGGTCTGTTTTACGTGTTTTTAAAAATAAAGGCATAATATGCTACACAGTGTTGTAGAGCTTATATTTTCCACTCAATGCTGTCATGTATATGTATGCATAGGTATTATAAATGAGCTCATCCCTTGTAACTGTTACATAGCAATCCACTGTTTGAATACATTACAATTTATTCATTCATTCCCTTAATGAGGTGCATCTGACTTATCCTCAATTTTATCTCTGGCCAGAGAAGACTGGAAAGAATGTACTGGAATGTGTGTTCCCTTACACACAGCTCCTTCACATTCATTAGACTGGCCAGAATAAATGAGAGAGAACTGGCCAGGTCATAAGGCAATGGAGCCCTTATATGCCGCTGCTGGTGGGAGTGAACATTGATGTAATCATTTTAGAAGCAATTTGGCAATATCTAGTTAAGATAAAAATGCTCAGCCCTATGCCCCAGCAATTCTATCTTTAGAATAAATCCTATCACCCAAGTTAAATTGTGATTCCTTTTCTACTCAACAGAAAACATAAACTATGTAATATTCCTTTATGACTTAAAGTTTACAATGCTTTTTTATATATATTATCTAATTTGACATTCATGACCGCAGGAGAGTGGTATTAGCCCCATGTTATAAATGAGGGAACCAAAGCCAAATACAGGGCTACACACCTGTCATTTTTTGCTCCTGGGGCTTAAGTGCCAGTTCTCTAATTTTTTCCACTGCATTTTCTATTACCCTCCGCTGCCTCCCTGTGTTTTGGTACTTTGAAGAGAAGTCTTAGGCTCTGGGGCTTCATGGTATGTGCTGCTGGTGCCCCATTCAGATCCCCTTTCCCAGGACTTGACCCCTCCCCCATGGGTTGCAAGTGCTGACTTCTGACAGGTCACAGCTGCCCTTCCTTAGAGAATTGCCCATGGCCACCTGGAGCAGCCTCACTGGAAATGCCTAGAGACTTTCCTCCACCCTCCTTGGCAGGGCATGCCTTAGCCAGAGGCTGATGGGTACAGGTGCACCAAGACGGCCTTATGGCCTCCAGTGGTGACAACTCCCTGGTACCATTAATGTTCCAGAACTCCCTAGGGCTGAGGCAGAACTTCAGCAGCATTCATATCTTTGTCTAGCTTCTTTGCCTGCCTTATTCTGCTTGCCTGACTTCCTTTACCTTCCTCCTGAGAATATCTTGAAGAAATCACTTGCAAGGTCTGGGGATGTAGCTTAGTGGTAGAGCACATGCCTAGTATGTGCAAGTCCCTAGGTTCAGTCCCCGGTACTGCAAAACAAACAAACAAACAAATAATTTTCATAAGAATTCCTATCTCCAGGCTCCACTTTTAGGGTCATGGCTCTCAATGTGTAGCATGCACAGAATCACTCAGAGGACACACACAATCACCTCTCATCCAGAACTTCTGTTTCCGTTGGTCTAGGGAAGAACCCAAGACTCTGCATCTCTAGCAAGTTCTCAGGTGAAGGAGACGCCACTGGTCCAGGGACCACACTTTGCGAAACATTGTCGTAGGGAACCTGGCTTAAGACAGTTGGTACCAGGAGAAGCAGGCTGGAAGGAGGGATTCCGGAGTTGGATGACCTGCCTGAGTTCATGGATTGTAGGGTAAGAACTAATACTCTTGGGCATGTGGTATTAATGTAATTTTTCTGACAGCTTACAGCTGAAAGGGGATGTATTGGCTTTTGCAATATTTTTGGCATGTGAGCAGTATAGCAGAGACAGTAATTATAAGGACTGTGGAATCGAGAAGCTATCTCTGAAAGCCCTTGGAGTGTCATTGGAAAATGGCAGGTCCAAGTGGATTAATCACCAATTCAGAGCAGAGTACAAAAGACAGAGGAGCTCTTTGGCAGGGAGGTCCTTGTCTCCTGGAGCTGGAAGACAATCATGCTGGAAAGCAGGTTCAGTACTATATCTAAGTTTAAGAGAGGTAGAACTTCCAATTCTCAGCCTTGACAGGTTTCCTACCAAGGTCAGGGTCTTAATGCAGAAAGGGTAGGACCTGAGATGTGGGAATGTGATATCTGTATGGCTGGGTTCAGGAGCCTTGGAGGATTTTCCTGAGCCCTGAGGTTCCTCAGATCTAGTCTGGTCCCCTTTGTTAGAAGTTAGGCTACTAACTCTAGTAATTGTACATTAGGAAAGGGAATATCCAGATATCTCAAAAATTGGGCAGGGTCCAAATTGGCAATGGTATCCAGGGACACCAAGTGCTACTATGGCTTCCTTGCTAGACTACAGGAAGATGAGGTCAAGCAACAAACAATTTCAGCCCAGGGTCATCTCACAGTGACTTCACTGAGTCACAGATTCAACCTGTGGTCATTTACACAGTTCACCAATGTCTTATCAGAATTACTATACTAGCCAGGCATGTTGGCACACACCTATAATCCTAGCACTTGGGAGGCTGAGGCCAGAGGATCACTGCAAATTCAAGGCCAACCTGTGCTACAAAGTGAGTTCAAGGCCAGCCTGAACTGTATATGAAACCCTGTCTCAAAAAGATAAAAAAAAAAAAAAAAAAAGAATTACCATACTTAGAAGCTTCCTTGGCCTATGAACTAAGTGCTTTTTCTTTTTTTTGAGACAGGGGTCTTGCCACATAGTCAAGACTGGCCTTCAGCTGGTAGTCTTCCTGCCTCAGCCTCCCAAGTGCTGGGATTACAGGCATGCTTTGCTAATAAGTGCTTTCTTATAGGAAGTTCTATTGTGGTAGAAAAGGTCAACTAGACATCTTAAAGCTGACAACCACCATTCCCCTCACCTGACCAAGACAGTAAATACCAAACTCTATTGCACACTGGGAGGAATGTCAGTGACGAGTGTCTCAAAGGCTTCCGGGATGCAAGGGTGATGGTCTTTATCTTTTGTACTGTCCAACCCCTACAAAGCCAGATGAATCATGGCAGGCGTCAGTGAACTTCTACAAACTTAATCAAGTGTCAGCATCAATTGTGCCTGCTAGTTTTATGTAATATCCTTAATAAAACAAGTTAGGCCTGGAAATATATCTCAGCAGTGGAACATTAGAGCATTCATGAGACCATGGTCTTAAACCCCATTACTGCAAAAAAAAAACAACAACAAACAAACAACAAAAAACGACACATAGCCTATGGTTGTCATTCTGCTACAAGCTCTGACAAATGCATTCTTTGCAATGTCCCTCATGTTGGAGGCTCTGAAGCAGTTTGCATTCATGGGACAGGCAACAGTAAACAGTCTTGTTCCTGTGTTATGGTACTTCTGCTCTCTGCTCTCAAAGGACCCGGATGTCTGGGTGTTCCATAAAACACTCATTTACTATATCAGTGGCTTCATGTAAATTGGACTTAACAAGAAGAGCAAGTGCTCTAGATACGTGGAAGGACACATGTTCACCAGAGGGCACGAAATAACCCAATTCAGGAGTCTGTTATATCAGTGAAGGTTTGGGGAGAGGTTCAGCGCTTTGGGACATGCCAGGAAATTTCTTCCAAAGTAGAGTAAAGCTCAGGACGTAAGTGCCTGCTTGGCAAGTGCAAGGTCTTGTTTGATTCCCGGTACAAAAAAAAAAAAAAAA